TTAAAGTGTCCTAGAAATCAAAATCCCGCAGAAAAAGTGTCCCTAGTGAAATGCATTCATGAAGGATACTTTCTGTTTCATTCATTTTTGTTTTAAATTTTTCTCCAAACAATTGGATATATATGATATTCGGTTTATTTGGACCGCTCTCGTCTATCTGGAACGCAGCAACCAAACATAAAACTGCTTCATAACAAGCCTTTGTAAAGATTTTAACAATGTCTACACCAAATCACTCCTTTTTATTCGTTAGATACATTCATACACTGTTTACAGGTAGCCATTATTACACCTGTAGGAGGATCATGAGGTTATCGCTATATTAAGATCTCTTCTTACAGATAACCCACCCTGCCCAGGAAAGGTTAGTCACACCACTAGAGTCTATAACGTCCCCTACTCTTTTCGAACAGTGGTGTGGGTTCTTTTACGTATAAGTGACAGTACTGTGAGAGGGACCTGCGGTGTTTCGTCCTTATCCGAGAAGACTAGGAAGTGTAACCGTTTGCAGATGTCATTATAAAGGCAGCACTTTCTTCTCAGTTATTTAAAGACCCTGAGTGTTGGTCCGGCCGGGGTTTGAACCCGCGACCTCCCGCCCAGCAGACCGGCGCTCTGCCAACTGAGCTAACCAGAAAAGAAAGAACCTTTGCGTAAAATTGTGAAAATGGAACGAAGGCCAGACAAATATTTCTGTTGAGGGAACGCCATATTGCTTGAAAAAGAAGCTCTGTGGAAAAATCCTCATTAAACAAGACCGGTTCACCCAAAACCAGAAGAAAAATAAGGATTTGTGATGTCAAGTCAAGAAACATATCTTTTACGTCCCATCTCTCTCTTACGTTGAGCATGTGGTAGCCTCTCTCCTTTAAAGTCGTCAAAAACAAACCGCAGATTTAAAAGGACCGAGTTTGCTCAGGAAATTAGAAAAGACCCGAAAATGAAAAAGAAAACCATTAGTGTAACAGTAACCTACCTTTTGATCTCAAAAACGGCCAGTTCAGAGTCACGCTCTGAACTGTCTTCCATGGCAAAGTTGACCAGAGTCCAGGCGGAGTCCATCGTTACATGAAGAGCCATTTCAATACCAGGCTCTTTTGTAGGGAAACAGGGCGATTCACGAGGCGAGCGCGAAATAGGCCAAGCAACGCAAGCCGATTTTTTTCTCGCAGTTCACCTTTTTTTTGGTTTATTTTGCCTTGTTTTCTCCAGTTTCTTTCTTTTTTTTTCAAAAATAACAAAGTTGTCCCAAAAACTTTATTTACGTGTTTTCTCTCGATGAAGGATATCAAACTATTATTTATAATCGGGATTTAAATATAACAGAACCATAAACGAAAAAACACATGCTTCAGTAAAATTGGTATATCCAAAATATTATTATTATACTATTGTCTGCATTTTTCTATCCACATTTTCCCTTCCGCATCTGCATCCGTTATCCGCAGGTATCCGGTCCGCGTTTTACAGACACCCTTGTCAAGAGGGGTAGACTACAATAACAACATTTATCTACTTAAAAACAAAAACGCCCGTAGAACATGATATCGGGCTGGCCCCAATTCTAGTGATTTGGAGTCAACAAATCACGTCATACTTAATACTATGAAAGCACCCTTGAGACCTTGACTCGTCTTCAGTCGTCTCTTATCATATTTGTTAGCAGTCACGAGAGAATAGAAACCTTTAGCGTCAGGTGTTTCATGGGAAACCGGAAACCGCAAACCGCAAACTTGAGGATGTCATGTGACCACGGTCTTGCTGCCGCGTTTGCCTTTTGGAGTTCACGTTTGAACGACAGGAAGGGCTTTGACCGTTAAGTGACTTACGGCAAGGTTTTTTTTTTTGCCTCTAAAAATTATACAGCCTCACGTTTAAAGGCACAAATTAGCTTTCTATATCCACCTGTGATGTGCTACTTAGATTTTTAATAATAATAATAATATAATAATAATAACTTTATTTCTATAGCGCTCTTATCCTATGTTCAAGGCGCTTTACAGTCATGTAAACAACATTATTGAAAAATATTTACAAATTTACAACCATATCCTATTATATTTACAATGGGTAAAAAAGGAAAAAGTAAATTTAAAGCAACTATTCAACCGTATTCATAATGATAAAAAAGGGAAAAATTAAAACTAACGCAATATATACAAATCGATAAAAACAATGATCCGTTATTACTGAATTTAGCAAACAAGTACGTCTTAAGTGATCTTTTAAAACTCGAGATAGTGTTGGACTTCCGAATTTCATAGGGTATTAAGTTCCATTCTCTTGGTGCATGAACAGCGAATGCTTTATCTCCGTAGGTCTTGGTATACGATCTAGGTTGCATTAAAAGTTCATTACTAACAGACCTCAATGATCTAGTATGAGAACGATAATGTAGTTTTTGAGCTAAATAGCTAGGCGTTGTCCCATTCAGTGATTTATACACGACGAACAGAATCTTGAAAATAATACGATATTGAATCGGTAGCCAGTGAAGCTCACCCAAAACAGGTGTGATATGCTGAAACTTACTCACTTGCAACACAACTCTAGCCGCCGTGTTTTGTACATACTGCAATCTTTGTAACTGATACTTAGGTAGGCCGTATAATAATGCATTACAGTAATCTAGTTTCGATGTGACAAATGCATGAACAGCAACTTCTGCTGATTCTTTAGTGAAATACTTCCTAATTCTAGATAGGTTCCTGAGATGATAAAATGATGATCTACAGATGCTAGTCACATGTGCATGAAAAGAACTGTTTTTGATCTCGAAGCAATGAATTATTTATGTTTTTGGGCGAAAAAAGCGAAGAACTTCGAATTTACGAAAAACAACATGGCGGCACTAAACAGTGAACGCCTTGCTAAAATTTGAAATCCGGCAACGTGAAAGTGCAAACTTGTAACTGCAAACTGAAAATCCTGATGCTAAAGGGCTCTAGTCTTACAGCGCGCGTCTACCCCGCGCTTCTCTCGTTTAAAAATTAACAGGAGACTGAGAGACGACTGGGTACAAGTCAACCTGAGAACCCCCTAAAGCAAAGTCATATGATGGCAAGAAATATTAAATTGGAAAATATTTGGCTATTTCTCTCTACACTTTCGTTGGGTAATTCATCGACCATATAGCCATAGGAAATGGATCCGAAAAGAGCTACATGTATTAATTACCCCCCTTCATCCTCTTCTTTCAAAAAGCGTATCTCCCTCTCGCCTCCCATCAGTGTGGCCCGGGTTCGAATCCTGGCGTCGGCGCCATATGCGGGTCGAGTTTGTTGTTGGTTTTCTCCCTGGCACCAAGAGGTTTTTCTCCGGGTACTTCGGTTCTCCCCTCTCCTTTAAAACCAACATTTTTAAATCCCAATTCGATCTGGAACGCACGGACATGGTTCAACGAGTTCTTAACAACTCCCAGTTGCTCCGTGGGTAAACAATTTCCCCCGTAAAAAATGGCCCTAGTTGTTGACATGTTAGATAGCGCTTTGCAAGGGATAAATCCCCATCCAAGGGAAAAGTATAGTTTGGAAGCAGGAGATTTCTACTGCTGACCAGAATGATCAGCCCAATTGCGTTATACACTGGATAGAGATTTATCCAGCGGATAACTCTATCCATGGATTGAACAACCGCTGCTTGGTTCTTACATGCTTGTGCCTATGTTATCGTTACACTGTATGGCTTTACACTTTTTTCGAAGAAACCACGGCCCGGAGTCGACTGTAGGTTGATTATAGCCCGCAGGCGTCACTAACGCGGGTATAATAGTCACGACTTATACCTAAGTTTCGTCTAGGTTTTGAGTTCGGCATCGCAGGATATAGATTTACGATTCATTTTTTTTTAAGTCTGCGTAAAAAGGACACAATTTTCTGTTTTTAGACACCCCTTAGCTTATGTACCTTATAGCTTGTGATAAAGAATGCAACAGAATACCGCCAGTATATAATCCCGTACTATAGTTTAATCTAGGGTTTGAGACTGAGAAACGTTCTGCATCACCGCAGGGTAGGATATAGATTTGCAACTTGTTTTTTCAATCATTGTTAAAAGGACACCCTTATGTGTCTTGTAATAAAGAATGCAACACGTTTTTCTTGGATACTTTTCAGCGGTGATTCTTATTAGACGATGAAGTATATAAATGAATCGATAGCAAATCGCAATTGACAACGTGACTGGTGAGAAAGCTTATATGTTTTACTAAAATTCTGTTTGTAGTTAAAGAATTTAGTTACAGGTTACATTGTCACATATTCCTTTAATATAAATTTTTTACAATTTGAGTTACGCTTCGCGTTAGAAAGTTATTGCATTTTATGTTAAAGTTGTTACATTACGATTTAATGTTTCATTTTGCCGCACATGTTGTTACATTTCTCGTTAAGGTTACATTTTGCGCCATAAATTTTGTCTCTTCCCACCCCCTCCCCCCACCCCCCACCGACTATAACGACCAGTCCAACATTGTTTTTTGGTGTTTTCTTTGGGCCAAGGCTAAACGTCGAACTTTTCATAAGACGAACCAAACTTAGTGAATTAAGTTCATGAAAAGTTCGATGTCTGGCTCAGTTAAGTTCTTCTTAATGAGTCTGGATCGTCCAACACGTTCTATCCGTCTGCTGTCAATTTGTATTTCCGTAAATATCTTAAAAATGTCAGCGTAATTTTAATTTCGGATTGAATCGTGTCGAAACGTTTTTATATGAAATCGACTGATGTTCAATATTTTGTGTGAGTTTACAAACAAGCAATTAATATTAAGTGACAACTGGGGCGAAAGTGAATTCTGAATTTCATCCTCTTCATCAGTATCTCGTTTATGCTCATGTGTCGCTCAGTATCAAGAGAGAAATGCCGTGCATTGAAAATTATCTATAAAGTCAAAATTTGTAAGTTTTCTCTTTTAGGTGACACTTAATCATTTCTCCCATGTTACTTGGGTGATTTTGATTGCCTTGTTTTGTTTTTGATCATAAATTATCTTTTCAGAAAAAATGCAAGATCTACGAGAAGCAAACTCGCCAGGCCTAACCTCAGAATTAGAAAGACAGTTGAGGGATTTTCAGCCACGTGAAGAAAACTTCCAGAGACAGTTACGGGAGATGCAGGAACGTGAACAGAATTTACAACGGCAGCTCAGAGTGGTTCAAGAACGGGATCAGTACTCTCAAAGCCAGCTAACGGCGTTTCGTCAACGTGACCAAAATATGCAGTGGCTGGTGAGAGAGCTTCGGGAAGCAGAACAAAATTCTCAAAGGCAGTTGACGGAGTTTCAACAGCGTGAAGAAAATTCTCAGAGGCAGTTAACGGAGTTTCAACAACGTGAAGAAAATTCTCAGAGGCAGCTGAGGGAGTTGCAGCGGCAACTAAGGGAGATAGGACAACAGTTGACCAATTGCCGAGGACAAGTTTCTGAACTACAGTTAAGTCTTTCTTCGACAGCACAGCAAACAATAAATCAATTGCGTAACCAGGGAGCACGTGACTGGGTTATTCCCCGCGACGAAATTCAAATCACAGAAAAATGCCTTGGGAGGGGAGGATGGAGAATTGTCAATGAGGGAACGTATTGTGGCTGTACTGTAGCAGTGAAAGAAATCCACGAGTTGATTCTCTCCCCTCATAACATACGTCTTTTTGAGAGAGAAATGAATATTGCATCCAAGTGTCGCCATCCTCACTTGCTTCAGTTTATCGGCGCCACAGTTGACGAGGGAAGTCCTCTGTTTGTGATCGAGTTGATGGAGAAAAGTTTGCGGACTCTGTTAGATCAGCGGCAACTGTCCGAAACAGAAATACGCACCATTTCTTTGGATGTAGCTCGCGCACTGAACTATCTTCACCAGAAGAAACCAGAACCCATCATTCACCGGGATGTGAGCAGTGCTAATGTGTTGCTATGGCGACAGGGTGACCAATGGAGAGCCAAAGTGTCTGATTACGGCACTGCTAATTTTATACAGCAGACCATGACAGTGGCTCCTGGAGCTATGATTTACAGTGCACCTGAAGCACTTACATCAAACCAAACAGTCAAGGTTAGTTTAAGTGAACATTCAAGACTTTTTACTTACTAAAGCTGTACAGCAAGGCTAACAGTGGCAGAAGTGAAAGTGACGCTTGTCCTTTCCCCCAAACTCGCCCTCTTGTCCACTCCACAAACATTTCAACATTCTTGAATTAAAAATGACCATATCTTTGTCAGGAGTCTTTGCAGCTTGTTCGGCACATTTTCCACTCTTTTATGTTTTTCTCCATGGATTTGGTCCACGTAACTGGATTTGTTAATTTATCCCTTCTTTTCTCTAAAGACAACAGTTAGAGGATAGCCTGAGTATCAGGCGTTTCTGGGGAAAAGGGGAAAGATGGAAGCGAAAAAGGGAGAGAGGTGAAGGAGAGAAACGCCTGACACAGATGCTTTTACTGGAGCCTTCCGCCCCACGCAGCATGATTCGATACCATCCAATCAAAATCACTTCCGGTCATTGGGTTGTCAGCTTCACGTGTCAAAAAGCTCGCCTAAAATAAATCTCAATTTACGGTCTGGCCGAGCTCCGGTACTTGTGTTGCTACGATTTCGCTTTTTTTCTGAGGAGTTTTCGAATACTTGTACTGTAAAACCTGCCATTTATGAGGAATTATAACATGTTTTGGGAATTGTGCTAGTGTAAGATCGCCAATGCTCTGTTTGTAAATAAACGTGTGCCCGGAAAATTGTAAATTGCTTTTGTTTACAGAGTTAAATCAGCCGCTTGTCTGGCAGCTAAAAAGCGGATGTTATCCCTCGTATTCTCGGGTGGTTGAAAGGAGCTGCAAGAATAAATAGGAAGGTGCGATGATGAAACACCTATGCCTAGAAATTATCAAGCAGCAGCAAATTCCACCACTTCACAGAGAGCTCGTGAAAGCTGTTACAAGTTCAAAAAGAAGTGAGAGCCTATAGCAAAAGTCAATCTCGTTGGCGAAATATGATGGCGCCCGCTTGAGCTTAAGACATTTCAAAAGTGAGAAAATTTTGGAAGAGGAAGCGAACGAATTCCAATCACGTACGCTATCGTAACCGCAACAAGCAAAGTCAAGCTTTTTAAAAGCATTTGTGCTGTCGGCTATCTCAACACATGGCTACCTCGCTCTACGTCGCTCTATTTTCATTTACAGTAACAATACCCTTTTAACGGCAGGATGTTGTAAATCTGAACTTAGATATCTGAAACACTGATATTGTCTTCTTTGTCCCGGTCTTGTGAAACCATATGAGGCTTTTCCACACTCCCTGTACATCTTTCCTTTAAACTACGAGGCCTTGAAAACACAATTCTTGCTCGGGTTTTATTTTTATTCCAGAAAAGAACTTGAGAGCTCCCTCTACAGCCTTTTTGAATTCCTCTCTGCGCCTCTGTCTGTAAAAGTATCACATACCGGTAACATGAAATCAAAACGTGTATGAAAAATTTCAATGACCGCCTCCTTGCCGATCGCTCTTGCGGTCAGTTACGTCAGGGGGTATTGTGTGTTATCCAATCACTGCCACATCCAGATTTTGGATGTGTCACACGATTTGCTGAATGGTTTTGTGTCAGGCCTTCCTTTCCCTTCTCCCCCTCCCCCTCCCCCATCTAAAATCTCCTCTCCCCTAGCCCCTTAGGAAGGCCTGATACTCAGGCTAGTTAGAGGATTGCAAAAGTTAGTATTTTTAGAAACAAAACATTTAAGCCAAGAACTTACCAAGAGGCCTTTTAAGGATCTTCTGTTTTCTAGGCTTTTTTAATTCATTTATCAATCTTGATAATCATATATTTCGTTTGCATTCTCGAGATTCTCCCTCTGGTGTTACTTTAACTCTTTTCGTAATCAGTATACCACTAATAAGTAATCTAAATAAAGAATATTCTGGCATAAAGTCGTGTATTATGATTGTTTTTCTTAGGTTGATGTCTACAGCTTTGGTGCTCTTTTCTGTGAAATGTGCATCCGGGAACTGCCAGATCCTACAAGGCGAGAAGAACAAGTCGTGCTCGTAACGAACTCTGTGTTTCGCGGCCTGGTACGGCGGTGCCTGCAGAGAGAGCCTGGGACGAGACCAACCATGCAGGGAATAATCAATGAACTGAAAGATGCCAATGTATCATCTTAATCGTAGAATCCACTGTACACCATATCATTGATAATTCCTGGCAATGTGTGCGCTTAGCCTGTTCCAGTCGTTCAGATCGTGGGGAGTGGCGCGCGCTTTTATTTGCGTCTTCCCCACTATCTGAATGCCTTTGGTCTGAAAATTGAAGAGGGCCCGGTGCTCTGAACCTGTGAAAATTGTGAAATCGAGGGTGCCCTGGATTTGATTTATGTGAAAAAAAAAACTTCCTTTATGCCCAAGGGCAAGATTAAGGCACCAGGCCCTGACTGGGCATATACTGGTAAAAATAGCAGCAGTTTTTGCTTGAAGATTTAGTATGGCCGGATTTTCTGATATGAATAAGTGTCTGTATGATCGTTAGAGTAACAAAAATGAAAAATAATAGCTTTATTTTTACACATGCAATACATTACTTACAAAATATATTTTTACATTTATTCCGATATTACTTTCTTATGAAGGTCATACAGCCTTAGTAGACCGGAATATAAATCAAAGATAGGAGTAGATAATGTAGCCTGCGTCGTAGACGTAATCTTAATCCGGTTTATAATTTAGTAGTAACGTTCTTGTTCTGGGCCCTCAACGGACTGAAAGAATTACCGGAAATGCGTTTCGATTTTCTCTTCCATCTGATTTGCAAATTAAGAATGGCTTTTTTCACTGGGTAAAAAGTCAATTAGGATATACCACTGAATCCGCGTGTAGCTGAGTAGGTCACCTGCTTATGAGTAGGTCATACAAATGAAATAGGCCATGTTATATATACAATATTGAGTGAAGACACAAGTATATGATGGCTTATGAAACGTTTTAGCGTTTACGATTAAACTTGCGAGTTAGAAAGCAATTGTGATCAGTTAGAGTTTCATATGCAATGGGTTATTTGAAAAATCGAGTGCACATCAATTAAGATATTACTTACTTATAAAGTAAGTCATCCACGTAGAATAGACAATATTTAATAATTAAAGAAACGAGTAGATGTGTCGCTTATATTTGATGTACTATTAGCGTTTTCTATTCAACGTGTAAGTCGACTTATAGAATAGGATTTTACCCAAATTACTTATTAAGTATACAGTGAGTATAGGTCGTACACTTAAAATAGACAATATTTTAACAGAAACGAGTAGATTATCTTGCTTTTTGCAAGTCTTACAGGACACTCAATAAATATACAACTATGGCGGCTTTTATAGCCGAGGTTGAGGCGATTTGTCTCTTGTTGAGGCTGTTATGATGAGGGAGTGTCTTGTCTCCAGACCACAATGCATTTATTTATGCCAGTAATTCTGACAGGAATGACATCGTAGAGATCATCGTATACAGCTCCGCACAGCTGCTAAACACATCGATCACGCATTGTTAGTAGCAATGCATTTCTTGGAAATTGAAGGGTGTGAGTCAGCTGACTCTCTTGTATCTCAGCGCTTGGAGTTAAATCAGGGCATTCAGTTTGAGGTGGACCTAGAGCGAGGAGCATAGAAGCTTCAATCCAACCACGTGCACAGTGCAGTTTAAAGAGACAAAGGTAAATTTTTATCTTTTTCGTTCATAAGAATGCCGTTTGGTTTTAGATTAGGCGAAAGAGATCAAGTTTTATTTAAAAGGAAGTAGGTTGCCCTGTTTTGGCTCTTGTGGAATTATGAAGGAGAAATGCTTTCCTTCAAGGCCTTCCACAGTATGGGAAATCAAGGAAAAAGAGCTTTACACTTAAGAAAGTGTTTTTTTACAAAGTCGATACCGGTTATACTTCAATGACATAAATCATATATATAACCTGAATTGGTGTAAATGTTTGCAAGACATCTGCTGATACACAGAAAACGATTCTCGAAAAGAACGATCATGACGTTCATGAATGTAAATATGAAGGCAGTTTTGCAAACCTGGCAGTGCTTTCTGTTCGATTCATATGAAGGTTCAATCTCTTCCTTCTTTTGATGGTCGTTGTGCGTTGTGTTTTGGCAAGACTCGGCATATTGGTGGTACGTAAAAGCGGAAGTGTTTTTGCCGAACGTGTTTGCTATCTCATTTCATCAAGACAGAAAAAATTTGCCTTTTAGAATTTCTGAACAAAGTTAAAAGCAATACATTGATCTTTGCAAATTAAGAAGTTGTTTTAAAACAGTCTAACCTATCTCCAGCGTATGCAAAATACGTAGCCTATATTTAGTAAGGAAATCCCGAAGACAATGCGGAAGTTTACCCGTTTCTAAGAATTGTGTGGTCCCACAGTGGATTAAGTTTGAAGGTGGAAATGTCACGGTGAGGATAAAAGCTACCGGTAGTCTTCAGTGACTAAAACACTGCGTGTCTGCAGTTAATTACAGGACTAACTTGTAAATAATTGTTAAGAGACAAAACTGGTACATTTTAACTTGAGTTTTTTCAAATGAATGTCGCTTGGTTTAGCTTGATATGGATTCCGCATGTGTCGACAAAAATAAAGGACGCTGAAGATTGCAAAGAGTTTTTACTGACAGAACCAACTAAAGATGTTAAGCATGTTACTGCAGCGTCTACTTGTACTTCTTCTTGTACTGTATATCACATCAATCCAACCTAATGCTAATGAGAAAATAACTTTTTACAGCGTATTACTAAAAAACCCGTCTGAGACGGTGTTTATCATATATGAATATGGTCCCAAGTGTTTCGATTCAGACCTGTTTCTGAAAATTAGTGGTTGTTCAAATGCCTTTAAGGAGTGAGCTTTAAAAAACATTCGGACCCGTGTCTGATAAATAGTGGTATCGACTGTACATGTTGACTTGGGAGAGAACCTTGCAGGAATCGGTAATGATGAAAACTTTGCTATGTCTTTTTAGGAAAGTTTGAAACACAATGTGAGCCAGCTATTTGTTCTGAAGAGCGTCTTGGTGTAACGAACCAAGCTGGTGGAACTGTGAAGGGCAACTATTTTGGCAACTGGTACGTCATTTGCACCAGTGAACAAACCCATTTCCCGACAAAGATGTGTGACCACGCAACAAACAAGAAACCTGTTTTGGAAGAGATCACGCACTAAGGAGGAAAAGGAAGAAAAAGTAAGAAAACAGAGATGTACAATGACATTTCCAACCAAAGAAGAAGTCAACTTTAATTTGCTCTCCGGTTTGAAACTTTTGACCTGCCACCCTATGGCAAAGAGTCAAGTTGCAATTCTAAAAGTATCCTGAAAGGCTACGCCAGTACAAAGACCGGTTATCGTTTGCCAAATGTCCAGACCTTTTGACATAACCAGGTTCACATAGTCGTGGGATGTATCTTCTGCGTCAAACAACCCCATCTTCCCTCTTCATCATTCCTTTGTGGATCGTATCTATGAGAAATGGCTTCACAAGTTCAACAAGAACGCTTCGGTTCCTTCAACCTACAATTCACCCATCGGACACAACAAAGATGACGTCATTGTACCACTTTATCCTGTGTATACTCATCAACAGATGTTTAAGAAGTCTTTCGAGTTCGGTTATGACTACGACGATGTCCACGAAAATGGTAAGTACACATTAAGTTTCTACATGACCTTCCTTTACTTCTTCCTTTACCTTGAATGCGATTTAGTGTAATTGTAGAGAAACCTTTAAAGGTAAAATACATTTTATGTCACTCGAACCCCGCTGTACGGACACCCATCGTTAATTACGGACAGTTTTCTTTGTTCCCGAGGAAAGCCATTTCCTCTCTTAAATTCAATCCCTTGGGAGTTCAAATGGCCCTAAAAGACACTGAAATCAATGCTTCTGCAAAACTTTGGGGTGACAAACAAAGAGCATTATGGGTATGTTATGGCATTTTCTGTGGTGGTCAATAGTCGTTATTGTGGAAAATAGACACGTTCGTCTTTCCAGTCAACAAATATAAATTTCTCCTAATTATATTAGGAGGGAGAAACCAACATTGAACATGCAGCTTAATCATCTGAGCTTACTCTTCTGTTTTAACTGGATTTTACTTTTACTATCGTTATCATCATCATCAATATCGTGATCGTTATCATTACTTATTTTCTTCATTTTTGCTACATATTATTATACCTTTGAAGAGATTGAAAACGTTACGTTTTTCGCTAATGTGTTATATTTGTTACCTTACGCTTATTCACGATAACGTTACGTAGATTCAAACAGACCCTAGTCCAGCTTAGGTTGCGTAGCAGGCGCCCATTGTCTCCAAGCGCCTTCTGTACAGGCTATATTTAGCTTGCATTTGTATGGTTTGTTTTATTAATTCAGACCACGTGATGTTCTCCAGGGAATTTGCCTTTTGTCCTTTCATAGATTATGCATACTTATGCACGTGGATGCATAGAAAAACCTCTCGGAGGATCTCGAAGCAAAGAAGAGACAACAACAAACTTAACTCACAAATGGCGTCGACACCGGGATTTGGACCCGGGCCACATTGGTGGGAGAGGAGTGATCTCACCACTGCGCAGGAAGAGAAGATTACATAAGAGTAGGGCTGAGAATATTCAGAACAGAAAGCTAAGCTGAGCTGAGCAGAGCAGAGTTGAGTAGAACACAAAAGAAGTGCAGTTAGCCTTCAGTTAATCAAAAATACAGTTTATAGGGTTCTGTTAGCTCAGCCCTGGATATATTGCATCACCGTGGACTCCTCAAGTGTATCGCTGCGATATTTTGATCGTCCTAAAATGTCGAACAAACTATGTGTCCCTTTGAATAATTTCAGTACGGCAGCATAGTTCTATCAATATAACCTCCCGCCCCTCGATACCCGTAAAGGTCAATATGTGTATCATACTACCCTTTCTGTGCTGCCCAGTACAGCATTTCATCCAATATGAGAAAGTGAATGCGATTTGAAATCAAATTTGTGCTTCTCCTTCGGAGAGTCGAGATTTTAATACGAGACTCCATTTCAGCCCCAAATAAAGTAGATCATTTAGAGGAGACAGGATTGCCTTAAGGATAGCATAGTTTATCAACTAAGAATTGAGTTTCAGACGGAATCCACCAGGAAACTGAGTAGTTTTAATTTTCATCGGAGCAACACAAATCGCCTGAACTGTAAGTATCGCGGAGAGTCCAATAAAATTTACTGTAACGTTGTTACAGCAATGTATGGGACTTTTGGAGCACCTCAGGCTGTATGCGAGCAACACGTTATAATCCTTTTCGTATGACACGGATTTGCAATACAAATGCGTTTACCGGTCTTTACTTGTCATCAAGTTGTAATAAATACGTCTCAATTTGATTTTCGCGAGAACAATGAGGCTTGTGTTTATTTACTGCCGACTGGTTTGCAACAGCACGCACAACTTACAATTAAAACAACCACTGAATTGGTTCAATTTTACTCTTTAAATATTGAGAATAAAGAACACCATATGTTAATAGTAAAGATGTTAACCAAAATAATTATGGCAATCTTTTTTTCAGTTTATTCAGTTGGCGGAAAATCAACATATTCTGATTAATTTCTATTTGTCTTTTTTGGGGATTCGCTGGTTGTGTAGAAAAAATGCGGAAGACTAAATTCTCAGAATCGCAATTTCCGGCTTTCTGAGAATTTAATAAATTGATGTTAAGGTCACTTTTCATTAATATTTTTTCCGTGGGTAAATTCTCGCCTTATATATGGCTGGTATTAAAGTGCAATTGACTTTTTATATGTATTCTGCGTAATTTTACTTTGAGGGAAATTATCAAATATTCAAATCATTAAAAAAAAAAAAACATACCCGGCGTGAAACACAAAAGCTTGTTATCATTGAAGACAACATAAGCAAGGAAAAAGCACGTTTTAAAAGACAAAAGGAAAAAAAACTTGAAAATAACGGGGGGGAAGGGGATGTATGGGTATCGCCTCGTAGCGGAGTAAACTTGTAGTTTGTGGCATCACTCAAGTTGTTCAGGACTGAACGACAATATTTTGTGCTTCGATGCTAAAAATAAAAAGAATGTTTGAGAATGGTATAAGGGGTGGAATAAAACCATGCAGTGGCTGGTCTCCTAGCAGATCCTCTTTTTACTTTTAATGGCCAACTAAAACGGGAAAAGTTTCTCTGGACGGTGTTTTTCTTCTTCTATTTCTTTTTTTTTCGCTTGAATTTTTCAGGCAATTCAGCCTGTATAAAATGTTTTTGTTTTTTTTTTTCTAATCCCTCTCCATCCTTCCCTGACACAGTGTAAGCTTCACACGAGGATATTTACCCGGTATTTTTTTCTTTCGCTTGCACCGTAGACCATTTTAACCGTGACTTAAGCGAAACGAGCAAACTACAAAAGAGAATAACTGCAAAAAGTAAACCTGGTCTGACAGGTTTAAGAGGATCACTGACCCCAGACTTGACATCACGTGTTTTAGAAATGAAAGAGAAACTGTGGTTGGCGGGTAAATTCCCCGTCCTAGATTATTCTTCAAACCTGTGGGCTGCAGCAGCTTTTTGGTATCTGATCGGTTTTCAGTCACAGAATTTCTTTGGAGTATGTTTTCTATAAACCCATTTCACGTGTCTTGGACCAATGTTTTTTAAAGTTTACTTTAAAAAGTTCTCAGTGTTTGAAATATGCAGAGTAGGCGGTGCTATGTCAACTAATATGTAAACTTTGCTCGAGCGCGAAGCATTTTAAACACATGCAGGAAAAAAGTCACTTTGAATGTGCATTTTGTTGATCTAGTCTGAGTTTTCACAAAATGGTAAATAAAAACAAATGAACGAAATAAAATGAAAAACGCCTCAGCGCACAAATCCAGTCCATACCGTCCTTGCGGCGGCTGCGATTTTCAGTAGGGTGAGAGCCTGGGGATGAGGTGCACTTCCAATAAACAAAATGGATTGGCTCAGTTGGGTCAGTCAGTTGGGCTATTCACAGCTTTGTGTTGTACTTGGTACCGTCTCATTGCGCGGTAAGAAGGATGGAGAAGGAGAGCTACAACTTTGGTTTCGTGCGATGTTCAACGATTGCCGCATTTTATATACCAGTAGGATAGCAGGGCATGACGAGATGGTATGTGAGTTATTGATGTTTTTCCTCTTTCACTTCCGAGATTGCACTGACAAAATCAGCAAAATCAAAACGTTATCAACAGAGAAGTCGAAATTTCATTTCGTCCAATACTGAAAACAAATAGTACCATGTGAGAGTACTGATAGAGGGGTTTCGTCCAGGGGCTCAAGAGTTAGAACTAAATTTTATAGATCCATGACTCTAGGAGTGAAAGGGTTTTAAATATATAATTTAACAATACAATTATAATAAACTGGTTCAAGACTTCAGAGGTAGTGCATCGTTTTATTACTACAGCTCTGTTTCGTGTGGCCAAAAGATGACCACACTCATCGGGTAATATCAACGATTGACCGTTAGATTACAACAACTGGCAAAAAGGCGAAAATAAGGTTGCTATGAGATATAAAAACAGCGTTATGTTATCGTATAAATCATGTGATTGCTATTTATAATTTGGAAGATTGTGTTACTTTATCATAAAGTTCCGTGAGGAGGTAAGCCCCGGGAGGGAAGGGTTACTTCCTTATAAGAGGTTAATAGGAATGTGCCGGTGGATGGGGTCGCATTTTCACAAGTGGACTGACTTTAGAGGGGTCGAAATTTCAATAGAGTTACTCGAATGGGGTGGCACATTTTCTATAATTGGTCACAGAATAGACTATAATGGGGTAAGGGCTCTGAGAGGCCAGCGGCACATATCCAGCAAAAATTTAGCCAAGTACCCCCCCCCCTGGTATTAAGCGGACACCTTCGGCACCTTCCCAAGTGTCCGCTTTTTATAGAGGTTTGTAAAAATTGCGCAATGTTTGTTAACGATTAACATTCAACGGTTACTCTGTACTGTAATTAAGCCATGTTGTTGAGGAAACTAAGGAAGCTGTGCTGTACTTTGCGCAACACTTAAGGTGAATTTTGATCGCGGATGACGATTATACTGCCGGATATCGGTGTAATATGTAGTTAATTGACCTCTAAATGTATTGATTTATCTCTATTAATCGACTACAGTACGTATTTCAAGGAAGTAAATCCAATACTACCTCTCCTTACGTTTTTCAGTTTGTAATTATGCCTGAAACTACAATGAAGGTCACCAAGGATACAGTTACAATTAAAGAGCTAAAAGACTGGTGGGGTCACGAAGGACAAACTGTTCAACTAAAAGATGCTGATCCAAATGAGCTTCAGCTTTTTATTGAAAAAATGCCCGTCCCAATCAAAGGTGAGAGTGTTCAAAGTAATTTCCAAAATTTTGTTTAAGTTTTGGTTTTGGAATAAAGAGGTACATGGTTGAACCTCTGTACAAATGTATGGAAACAGGCAGATCTTTTTTTTTTTTTGGTTTTAGTCTTTAAATAAAAAGACGAATACGGGTTAAACTTACTGTATTTATGAAGGTTTATAAAAACAGGTAGCTCAAGCTTATGGCTAGAGTAGTTAGTTTGGTGTTTTTGAATTGAGAAGCGTACGGTTAAACCCGTATATTTGTGTGGATAGCTGGACTTAAATATTTATAATTGATGAGTGAGATATCCATATTTAGTATACAGCTATTTCGAGAAAGGTTGTCGGAAAAAGTGCACGCTACAATCCCGAAAGGTATTGTGGGTGGCTTTATGGGCACTTTTCTTCAAAGAAATTTGAAAGAATTATACGGGAGGCCACGGACATATGTTTGCGAGTACTAAAAGAAAGCAACAAAAGTAGGTTCGACAGCTTCAATCGTTACGAACAATGTATTGATCATATCCCATATTACCTTTCGGGATTGTCGCGCGCATTTCTTCCGACAACCTTTCTCGAAACAGCTGTATACTAAAACAGTGGATAGTGTTTTTCGCGCGCTCTGATTGGCTGACTCAATCAGTGAATATTCTTCACTATTTGCGTAAGTTGCGAGCAAAATGTCTTCCCGGTTTGCTGCCGTAACAAACTAAGAAATTTCACAACTAATCATGCAAGCTATTCCCAAAATAAATGAAAAAGGTGACGAAGTTCGGTTTGGAAGTTTTAACATTTAAATCTTCGTCTTTTTTACTTAAATTTATCGATAAAACCGGTGAAAAAGTTTTTTGTTTACAAATGCAAATTAAGCTTAAGTCTTGCGCTACTTAATTTAGTTGACTTGTTCATAAATAAGCTTAAAACTAAATTTAATAATCTTTTTTACAGAATGATTTTAAATACAAAAAGAATTCACAACTCCTTTTGAAGAAACTTCCCCGCAAGAGCTATACAAACGCCTTCAAAAGTTTTATTTGTCGCTAAGAAAAAGCGATGACCGCGACCGTTCGGTCATCGTGCGCCCAAATTGTAATCGTTGGCAACAGTAAATGAGTTAAAAATCATCATTTTTGTCCTCAATTATCTCACTGTTTTAGTATATACTAAAACAATTATTCAACTCAGTGTCGGTGGCTAGTAGAGGAAATTTACCTCGCCGCTTTGCGGCCTCGTTAAATACTCGTTACTAGCCACCTCCACTTCGGTGAATAATTGTTATATAACAAGACAGAATATTAACGCTTATAAATTTTGTCGACCGGGAATCTTCGCGTCAAAACATTGTCGCTGTTAACAGTGTCAAGAGGGGTAGACTACTAGAACAACATTGATCTTCTTTTTTAAAGCAACAAAGAAGAGCATGATATCCGGCCGGCCCCTATTCTAGTGATTTGGAGTAAAAAAAAATCAGATCATATTTAAGACTAAATGAAAGCTCTGAGTCAACTGCATTAGTCTGTAATTCACAAATCGATTGATGAAAATTGCTTCCACGCCTCATTTTTCTCGCGCACTGGCGGTTCCGCCACCAAAATTTCCCCTCAGATCCTGAATCGTCCTCAGTAGTTTTCTTATCAAAAATGTAGTTTACGTAATAGAAAGTGCTTTGTACGGGGTTATATTCACGAGCTTGTTTGTGTCAAAACCCGAACGAGCCAGATACGAGCGAGTGAGGGCTTTTGACACAAACAACTAGTGAATATGACCTTGTACAAAGCACTTTCTAAGACGTGAGCTGTTTATTACACATATTAGGAGAGTTTTCACTGAAATAGTGCTCTTAATGTAACACATAAGCTTATTGCTATTAAAAGAGCAAATCACAAATGCTGACATGCAAATGCAAATTTAATAGCAATGGCAAATCTCGCAGCACATCCTTAGTCCTCATCGTGCAGAACAGAAAATGCACTTACAAAAGTTTAATCTACAATGAAGTTACAAAAGACAGACCTCAGCGATGTGGGCTCGTACAGAGGAGTTCACGCTCATAGTTGCATCATAGGTAATCAGGGCAAGATGGAGGGAAATTCAAAGATTTGTATTGGAATTCAAAGCCCGCTAATTCTTCCTGAATTCATATATTTGATGCTTGATTTTCCCATACATTTTCTGTAATTCCACAGTATCAAAATTACAGAAAATTTATATGGAAAAATTCAGGTTTTCTAAAAACTCATCACGGATGTCTTTGCACTCCAGATTTAGTGTATTGTTTTTTTGAACTCGTAAGTTACCCTTTTTAAAAGAAACAAAAGCTTAATATCCAATGTAAACAAATTAGGGCTTGGGAAAGATCATCTTGGAGGGAAAGATAGATGAGAAAAGGAGAGAGGAAGACTGATAAAGTAGAGGGGAGGGGACATGTCACTAACAGAATTAGGAATTAGGAATTTTTTTCTCTTTCCTGAAGCTCTCTCAACAACCGCTGCATATTTTGTTCACGTTGTTGAAACTGCATCAGTTGCCTTTGAGAATTTTTCTCTCGTTCCTGAAGGTCTCTCAAGATTGGCAGTTGGTAAAAACTGTTTCCGCTGCGCGGTAAAAGATGCAACGTCCTATGGGATAAGCAGCTAGAGTAAAAATGCGGGCGTGATTTCAATTTCGGACTGGATCGTGTCGAAACGTTTTGATATCAAATCGACTGATTTAAGGTTCATCTGAACGAAAAAATGAGAGCTCGTTCAAAGAAGGGGCTATTCTTGGACACACATTTCAATATTTTGTGTGAGTTTACAAGCAAGCCATAATTATTTAGTGACAATCGGAGCGAAACGAAATTCTGATTTTCATCTTCTTCATCAGTATCTCTTAAGCTTATGTGTCGCTCAGTTTAAAGAGACGAACGCAGTACATTTAAAATTTTCTTTGAAGTCAAAATTTTTAATTTTTCTTTTTTAGGTTTCACTTAATCGGGTTGCCCATGTTACTTGGGTGATTTTCATGATTGCCTTGTTTTATATTTGATCATGAATTATCTTTTTAGAAAAAAAACAAAATCTACGCAAAGCAAATTCGCCAAGGCGAACCTCAGAAATAGAAAGTCAGTGGAGGGATTTTCAGCGACGTGAGGAAAACTTCCAGAGACAGAAACGGGAGATGCAGCAACGCGAGCAGGATTTACAAAGGAAACTCAGAGTGGTTAAAGAACGGTATCAGGACTCTCGAAGCCACCTAACGGATACTGAGCAACATGAACAAAATATGCAGCGGCTATTAAGAGAGCTTCAGGAACGAGAAAAAAATTCTCAAAGGCAACTGATGGAGTTTCAACAACGTGAACAAAATATGCAGCGGTTGTTGAGAGAGCTTCAGGAAAGAGAAAAAAATTCTCAAAGGCAGCTGAGGGAGTTTCAACAACGTGAAGAAAATTCTCAGAGGCAGCTGACGGAGTTTCAAAAACGTGAAGAAAATTCCCAGAGGCAGCTGGTGGAGTTGCAGCGACAACTGAGGGAGATAGGACAGCAGTTGACCAATTGCCGAGGACAAGTTTCTGAACTACAGTTAAGTCTTTCAACAGCACAGGAAACAATAAATCAATTGCGGAACCAGGAAACACGTGACTGGGTTATTCCCCGGGACGAAATTCAAATCACAGAGAAATACCTTGGGAGGGGAGGATGGGGAATTGTCAATGAGGGAACGTATTGTGGCTGTACTGTAGCAGTGAAACAGATCCATGAGTTGATTCTTTCTCCTCATAATATAAACCTGTTTGAAAGAGAAATGAATATCGCTTCTAAATGCCGCCATCCTCACTTACTACAGTTCATCGGCGCCACCAATGATGAGGGAACTCCTCTGTTCGTGACCGAGCTGATGGAGAAAACTTTGCGCACTTTATTGGAGCACCGGCAACTCTCCGAGACAGAAATAGCCGTCATTTCTCTGGATGTAGCACGTGCCCTGAACTACCTTCATCGAAAGAAACCAGAGCCTATCATTCACCGTGACGTCAGCAGTGCGAATGTGTTGCTATGGCGAAAGGGTGACCAATGGAGAGGCAAAGTGTCAGATTATGGCACTGCTAATTTTATACAGCAGACCATGACAGTGGCTCCTGGAGCTATGATTTACAGCGCACCTGAAGCACTTACATCAAACCAAACAGTCAAGGTAAGTTTAAGTGAATATTCAAGACTGTTTACTTACTAAAACTGTACAGCAAGGCTAACAGTGGCAGAAGTGATAAGTGATGTCCACTCCATAAACAATACATATGAAATGACTGTATCTTTGTGAGGAGTCTTTGTACCTTGTTCTGCACTTTTTTCACTCTTTTATACATATCTTCTTCATGGATTTGGTCCACGTAATTGGATTCTTTAATTTATCCCTTCTTGTGTCTAAAGACAACAGTCACGGGATAGCAAAAGTTAATTAGTATTTTTAGAAACAAAACATTTAAGCCAAGAACGTACCATGATGCCTTTTAAGGATCTTCTGTTTTCTAGGCTTTTCTTATCCATTTATCGATATTCATCTATTTTGAATTCTCGAGTTCCTCCCTCTCGTGTTACCTTAACTCCTTTTGTAATCAGTACACAACTAATAAGTAATGTCATGTATTATGATTGCTTTTAGGTTGATGTGTACAGCTTTGGTGTTCTTCTTTGTGAAATGTGCATCCGGGAACTTCCAGATCCTAGTAAGCGTGAAGAACAAGTCGTGGTTGTAACGAGCGGTGTGTTTCGCGGCCTGGTACGGCGATGCCTGCATAGAGATCCTGGGCCGAGACCAACCATGCAGGAGATAATCGATGAACTGAAAGATGCCGATGTGTCATCTTAATTGTAGAACCAACGGTACACCAAATCATTGATAATCTGCTGTTTGTTGGAAAGTTTTATAACTTACTGGTAAAGCTGTTCCCTCAGCCTGTTCCAGTAGTCGTTCAGATCGTGGAGAGTGGCGCGCACTTTTCTTTGCGCCTTTTACATTATCTGAATGCCTGTGATGGCTGTGATATGAAAATTGAAGAGGGCCCGGTGCTTTGAGCCTGTGAAGATTGTGAAATTCAGGGTGCTTGAATATGATGTTTAGGAAAAAAAGAATTTTTATGCTCAAGAGCAAGATTAAGGCGCCAGGTACCACCGGTCACTGGCTGAGCACAGCCCTTACTGGACACTTGGTAAAAATAGCACTGAACAGTTCCTGAAGATTTAGTACGGCTGGATTTTCGGATATGAATTAAGTATCTCTATGATCGTTAGACTAACAACAATGAAAAATAATAGCTCTATTTTTACATATGCAATACGTTACTTACATAATATATTCTTACATTTTAATATTCAGTATTGCTTTCTTATGCCTGGACTTATGAAGGTCATACAGCCTAAGTAGACCGCAATATAAATCAAAGATAGGAGTAGATAATGTAGCCTGCGTCGTAGACGTAATCTTAATCCGGTTAGTAACATCTGTGAAGCAAAGCCGAGATCCTTGTTCTGAACCCTCAGCGGACTGAACGAATTACCGGAAATGCGTTTCGATTTTCTCTTCCACCTGATTGACAAATTAGCAATGGCTTTTTTCAGTAGGTTACTGGCCAATCATAGCGCGTACTCAAATCATGGTACACAGGTGGGGCCCTGAACAAGGATTTCAGCGCTGTTTTGCAGACGAACTTAACCAGAGGATTTAGTGCTTTCTGTTCGATGTTTATTTTTGTCCAAGGTTCAATCTTTTCTTTCTTTTGATGGTCGTTGTGCGTTGTGTTTTGGCAAGACTCGACATATTGTTAGTAGGTAAAAGCGGAAGTGTTTTTGCCGAACATGTTTGCTTTCTCATTTCATCAAGATACAAAAAATTTGCCTTGTACAATTCTGAACAAAGTTATTAAAAGCAATACTTTGATCTTTGCAAACTAAGAAGCTGTTTTGAAACAGACTAGCCCATCTCCCGCCTATACGAAATACGTAGCCTTTGTTTATTAAGGAAATCCCGAAGACAATTAATGCGGAAGTTTACCCGTTCAAACAGTGGATTAAGGTTGAAGGTGGAAATATCACGTTGAGGATAAAAGCTACCGGTAGTCTTCAGTGACTAAAACACTGCGAGTCTGCAGTTAATTAAAAGACTTGTAATTAATTGTTAAGAGACAAAATTGGTACATTTTAACTTGAGTTTTTTCAAATGAATGTCGCTTGGTTTAGCTTCATGTGGAGAGCACATGTGTCGACAAAAACGAAGGGCGCTGCAGATTGCAAAGAGTTTTTACTGACGGAACCAACTAAACGATTTTAAGCATGTTACTGCGGCGTCTACTTGTACTTCTTCTTGTACTGCATCTCACATCAATCCAACCTAACGCTAATGAGAAAATACGTTTCATAACTTTTCACAGCGTATTAAAACCGTCTAAATCCGTGTTTATCATATATGAATATGGTCCCAAGTTTTTCGATTCAGACCTGTTTCTGAAAAGTAGTGGTTGTTCAAATGCCTATAAGGAGTGAGCTTTAAAAAACATTCGGACCTGTGTCAGATAAATAGTGGTATCGACTTCATGTTGACTTGGGAGAGAACCTTGCAGGAATCGGTATCGATGAAAACTTTGCTATGCCTTTTTCGGAAAGCATGAAACACAATGTGAGCCAGCTATTTGTTCTGAACAGCTTCTTGGTGTAACGAACCAAGCTGGTGGAACTGTGAAGGGCAAATACTTTGACAACTGGTACGTCATTTGCACGAGTGAACAAACCCATTTCCCGACAAAGATTTAGATTTAGTGTTATTCTAGCGTAACCCTAGGGAAAATAAATTTTATGTCACTTGAACCCCACTGTACGGACACCCAACGTTAATTACGGACAGTTTTCTTTGTTCCCGAGGAAAGCCATTTCCTCTCTTAGATTCAATCCCTTGGGAGTTCAAATGGCCCCAAAAGAAACTGAAAACAATGCTTCTGCAAAACTTTGGGGTGACAAACAAAGAGCATTATGGGTATGTTATGGCATTTTTTGTGGTGGTCAATGGACGTTATTGTGAAAAACCGACACGTTCGTCTTTCCAGTTAACAAATATAAACTTCTCATAATTATATTAGGAGGGGGAAACCAACATTGAACATGCAGCTTAATCATCTGAGCTTACTCTTCTGTTTTAACTGGATTTTACTTTTACTATCATCATCATCATCAATATCGTGATCGTTATCATTACTTATTTTCTTCATTTTTGCTACATATTATTATACCTTTTGAAGAGATTGAAAACGTTACGTTTTTCGCTAATGTGTTATATTTGTTACCTTACGCTTATTCAGGATAACGTTACGTAGATTCAAACAGACCCCAGTCCAGCTTAGGTTGCGTAGCAGGCGCCCATTGCCTCCAAGCGCCTTCTGTACAGGCTATATTTAGCTTGCATTTGTATGGTTTGTTTTATTAATTCAGGCCACGTGGTGTTCTCCAGGGAATTTGCCTTTTGTCCTTTCATAAATTATGGATGCTTAATATGCATGTGGATGCACGCGCACACGGACGAAATTAGAAAGAGACAGTTCTCTGAAGTACCAAAATGGGGAAACCGTCGACGCTGGGATTTGAACCTGGGTCAGTTTGGTGAGAATGGGCACTGTTCTCGCCCCTTGCTCCCCAATGTTAGAGAAGACTACATAAGAGTAGGGCTGAGAATATTCGAAACAGGGAGCTAAGCTGGGCGTAGCAGAGTAGAGTAGAGTAGAGTAGAACACAAGAGAAGTGCGTTTAGCGTTCAGTTAATAGAAAATACAGTGTATAGGGTACTGTTAACTCGACCCTGGATACTTTGAATTTGCGTCACCGTGGACTCCCCAAGTGTATCACTGAGATTTTACTTTGGATACTTTGAATCCCTGCTATTTTGAGCATTCCACAATGTCGAACCAACTATGTGTCCCTTTGAATAATTTTAGCACAGCTCTATCAATATAACCTCCGTCGTTACCCTTAAAGATCAAAATTTGTATCGTGTTACCCTTCCTGTGCAGTTCAGTACAGCATTTTATCCAATATGATAAAGAGAATGCGATTTGACATCAAAATTTTCGCTTCTCCTTTGGAGAGTCGAGATTACGAAACGCAAAGTCTTTAAAATCTTAGTTTTTTGCAACATTCGTTGTTTCATCTTGTTTATTGTTACCGCATTTTCTGTTCTATTTTTTAACTCTCTTGGTCTAGCAAGAGCTAGAGAATATAGCCCGGTTCTACTCTCTTGGTACCCATGTATAGTCAATTTCGCTCAAAAGAGTGTCGATCAGGACTAGAATTGAATGGGTGTCTCTTGATGTCGCGGAAGTTTTGGTTGGTTAGTAGTTTCAGTCGTAGACTACGAGTAGTCCCACATTTGTCTTCAGGGATAGTAAAGTGAGCGAAACGTGAGCGCGCGTGAAAATCACCCCACGCGAGAAAAGGCGTCTCGCCTTTCCCACGTGGGGTGATTTTCACGCGCGCTCGTGTTCCGCTCGCTCTACTATCTCTGAGAAAGAATAGGGGACTACTCGTAGTCTATTTAGTCTTGTTTAGTTTTTAGTTTGGCGATTACATATCACATATGCAACTGCAAAAAGAGAGTGCAGACATAAATGTTTAGAAAAAGCTAACAGACGGACCAGTGGCCGGAAACAATGGCGGTCTTCACTCACTGTCCTAGCAAACTCTTCTTGCACAAAAACCTAGCCTTATATCGGCCATAAAAAGGCAGTGTTGCGCCATTATCATAGTCTATATGGAATTATGTAAGAAATCCAAATTATTTGCTATTTGGCACTGAATTTTTCATTGCCATTTTAAAAACAAAAGTTCACATTTACAAACAAATTCATGTCCAGAAACTACCAAACAACCATGGCTCGTATCCTTTAGCTTTATAAAGTCTCCAGGTATTTGACCGATAGTGTAGTGCGATAGTGTAGAAATTTGGCAACTTTGCGGCAAACATTAAAAGCTCATCATGTGTTCTCTTACCTCCATTTTCGAATGAACATTCGAATTAATCAGGTGATGATATTTATAATGTGAGCCTGAGAAATGGCGAGGTACAAAGCCGTGCAACAATAATCGGTCAGCAGGATAGTGGTCGTCAGATCAAACGTGTCCTGCCAGGTCCAATTAATCATCGTGGTTGTAATTCTCGTCAAATAGACTAGAAAGAGATCTGAGCGATAATAAGAAATTTGTAATAAATATGCACAACCAATAAAACACAAACACAGTACAACGAACAACAGGTTTAAAAAATTACTTCAGAAACTGTGCGGTCTACTCACTTCCTTTTCTTCGTTAAAATAGTCTGTGACTTGCAAAAGTTAATTTTACCGAGAAAAGTCAAGAAACAGATTGCGAGAATCACGGACCGGTTTATCTAATGCGCGTATTTTCGTATAAGCATTGTTATCTCAGAAATGTTCCCACTGTTATATAACAACTTTCGGAAGTATCTTATTTTAAACTATGAACAAAAATAGTTTCGTAATTAAGCAACAAACAAACAAAACAAAGATTGATCAGTCACTTTCAAATCAGTTTCGTCCGTCACAAAATGATCGATTGGTGCATATTTTCAAAGACGAAATATGCTGGGAGAGTTTTAATTTTTTTTTTAGAATTAGGAGTTGAAAAGTGATCGTAACTTATGAAGGAGAGTGCATCAAAGTACTTACAAATTGTGAGATTGCGAGCCTTCTTCTGAGTTTCATTTGATCTGATCAAGCGCATGGTTGCCGCCAAGTCCTTGTTCCACAGCTTTGTAGTAATCCACTGTGATTCAGCTTCGCGTCTGGCAGCTTTCTCTGTGCCAAATAATGT